GATTGAGTAGAGACCAGCTGAACTTGAAGATTGGGGTTTAACACCAGTATCCAGTAGAAATCAAGGGTATGTTATTCAGTGTCATGATTACAGTAAATTTTGGAGGAGTAAATAAATTTAAACGAAGCATCTTATAGAGATGCTCTTATCAGTATTATCTCTACTAAACCAGGATATCTAGGCTGGTCATAGTTCTTCCCCTTCCTTAAAGTTCAATTTTTATTTTAATATTTATGAAATATATGAGAACATATTGAAAATAAAAACACAACTCAACACAAACTGATTTTTTTTAAAAAAAAAAAAGCATAAGTGATGGCAAGGACACTTTTGTACATCATCAGTTCTTTGAAGCCTCCCCTGCAGAAAAGGCAAAATAGATGAAATGACTGAGGGTGGGAAATAGTAAAATATAAGGTAGAGGGGGACAGCAGCCAGGTAACTTCCTTCTCAATTCCATGGTTATGCCCTCACTGAGGGCAGCTGCTTTTTGACCCCTCACCTGGGGGTAGATGGGTAGATGGCAGGAAAGCATCAGTTGTCACGTAAGAGCACATGGCTGGAGAACAAAGAAAATCCATAGGGACACAGAGGGACACAGAGCAGTGACTGGGTTATGGACCTTGAGAGGCAGGGCAGAGAGCTCCAGTAACAGACTACAGAGCTTTAGCAACACACCAGGGTCACAGCAATGGACTTTAAGAAACAAAGTCAACGATACCAATGTGCACTTAGAGAGATTTAACCAGCAAGAGACCAGCATAGACCAAGGACCATGGTAAACACAGGAACTATTGAGGAGCCAGCATGAGTCCAGGACATAATAGGCAATAACTACCTTTTTTGTGTGTATTGTCTATTTCCCCTTAATTGAATCCTGTGAATTATAAACTTGTTCATGATTGGTTTCAGTCATACAGTCCAATACCCTTCCCTTCACCAGTGTACAGTTCCCATAACCAATGGCCCCAGTTTTCCTCCTGCCCTCCCTCAGCCTGCCTCTATAGTAGATATTTTTCTTCTGTCTATCTGTCTCTGTCTCTGTCTCTTTCTCTTTCTCTCTCAATTTCCTCTTAGGCACTGTAGTTTGCAATACTGTTAGTGAAGGTTAAGCATCTCACTTTACCTCCTTTCGGCACTCAGTTCTTGTCCAGAGTGACTGATTCCAGCTGTCATTGTGATAGTGGTCTCTTCTCTGTCCTAACAGCCCTCCCCTCCAATCTGTGGCAAGTTTCCTACCATGGACCAGTCTTACTGGCTCTCACAAGTCACCTTCTTAAAACTGTTAAATCAATAACTATAACCTCATAAGCACCTAGAATTTTGTATGCAAACCTTTCATATACTATTCAAGGACACTTGCAGGAATAAAACCACTTTTGCCCTGATACAACCTAGAAAAACCCCTTGGTGAAATACAGCATGCAACTAATTATGGGCTACTTCACTTTTATATTATAATTCACTTTCAAAATGGCACTAATGAAACTCCAGACAGTACTGACAGCACAGAAAACCTGTGTCACAACCACATAACCCAGCTCTGTCAGATCATGTACAACATGTATTTTCTATGGGAATTGATTTGGTTGAAACTTTACAAACTCAGTAATTTCTGCCTTGAAATGATATTAAGTTTCCAGGTGAGAATTTCTTAAAGAAAAACTATTTCGTGGTACCTTTTGCCGGGAGAATTCCCATTTTTTCCTACCAAAATACTGGTGTAAGACAGAATGTCTAGCCACTGTTTCTGAATTGAGGTGAACTTAAATAGCTTCTCATATGTCAAGAATTTAAAGTATTTTAATCAGAGAATAGTTTTAAAGCTTGAGTAACTATAGATGAGATATTCCCACAAGCCTTCTCCACAGGTTCAATTATCTCTTTTTAACTTTTATTTTATCTTTAAATTTTATTTTACTTATTTTTAAGTTTTTTAATTCCCTCACTGTGATTATAAAGTTATCCATGATTGGATTTTGGGTACACAATGTTCTCATACCAGTCCCTTCATCAGTGTCCACTTCCCTCCACTAATGTCGCCAGTTTTCCTCCAGCACCCGGGCCTGCCTCTGTGGCAGACACATTTTCCTTTTCCTTTTTACCTTTTAGGCACTGTGATTTACAGTACTGCTACTAAGAGGGTATCATGCACGATTGCTAGAGAAGTTCAGAGAATGGAAAAACCCCATTTACTTACTAGATTACTGATCTATAATTAAAGGATATAGTACAGAAACATGCCAAGAAAAGGAATACATAAGGTAAAGGAATGTGAGAAGAGCGAGGACTTCCATACTCTTGGGTCACAGCATTTTCCCAGAATTTCGATGAGTTCACCAACCTAGAAGCTCTCTGCACTAGTCTTTTGGGGCATTTGTGGAGGCTTCCCCATTTAGGCATGATTGATGAACAAATTGGCTATTGGCTGGTATGATTCAACCTCCAGCCCTTCTCTGTGCTCAGGAGGTCAAGGGATAGAACTGAAAATTCCAGCACTATAAGCATCTGGTTGATCCATCCTCAGATACAAGCAAAAAGTCATCCCATTCACCTAAACAAAAGACAACTGTATAGCTCCACGAACAAAAAAAAATTTCCAAGCATTTTATAAGGAGACGAAGATCAAATATAAGCACATCATATAATAAATTACAGCATCACAGAAAGTAAAGTTTCATGCTGTCAAGTACATTAAACAATAAGAACTACATTTATTCAAAGGTCACAACCTTTCTCCATTTAATTATTCTAATTTCACCTGGATTTCCTGTATGTGTCAAGTTGCATTTATGCTTAAGAAATGTTTCAGTCAGAGGAAGTGAAAATGAGTCAAACTTCCATCAGACTTTTAAGCAAAGTCACAATTGCCATGTGCTTCTTTACTTTTCAGGGTGTGTGTTTGTCATCTCTCTGAATCTTCACAAAGAATGAGACATTCAAAATTGAGGCAAGTCCACTAGGCAAAAGAATAAAATTGTAACTTTCACACATTAACTAGACCGAGTTATTGTTGTTTTTTGTTGTTGTTGTTGTTGTTGTTGTTTTCAGAAATCACTCCAGAAATTCTGAATAAAAGTCAAGAAAGAAAACAAAACAAAAATAAAACGTTTCTGGGCTGGAGCGATAGTACAGTGGGGTAAGGGCGTTTGCCTTGCACACAGCTGACCTGGGTTCGATTACCAGCATCCCATATGGTCTCCTGAGCACAGCCAGGAGTAACTCCTGAGTGCAAAGCCAGGACTAAGCCCTGTGCATTGCAGGGGTTATAATAAAAATTATTTTAATAAGTACCTTTAATAAAAAGGCATTTATTAAAATAAATTTCATAAATAAATTTATTACCCCAAAAGCCAAAAAAATTAAAAAATAAAATATTTGTCCTGCAGAAAAATGACTTACTGGTGGTGGTGCAAGGAGCAAAAGGAAGAAAATCATGGGACATTGGTGGAAGGAACTGGACTCTCTGGTAGTGGGTGTGGTTTTAGAATACTGTATGCAGGAAACTGTCATTAACAGAAGCATAACTCACTGATGCCTAGGGAAGGAAGGAAGGGAGGAAGGAAGGAAGGAAGGAAGGAAGGAAGGAAGGAAGGAAGGAAGGAAGGAAGGAAGGAAGGAAGGAAGGAGATGATTTGCTTAAGGCATCATCAAAATACGAAAAATCCCAAAACTAAGCTCATAAGGAAAATGAATTTGACTTGCAATATTTGGGGCTTGCAGTATCACATTAGTGATACTGCACTGAACACGACGTAAGCAAATTTGGTGAACACCAAGCACAAGATACAGTTAATATCTCTAGGTGTTCTTTAAAAGAATGGAATTCAAACAGTCTGTCTCTCTGAAAGAGAAACGAATAATCCTGCTTTTCTTCAGACACTGGCAACAGGAACTGTGAGAGTTAAGAGTCTATTTAATCCTTCCCTTCCTGGCTCAGAAAGAAAATAAATAGTCTGTCCAAGACCTAAGATGTGCTTTTCCCTTTGTGAGTTTTCAGGAAAGAGAGAACAAATAAGAAAATGATCATGGATGGATGGGGCTTTTGCAATATTTAATCACATCACCCTGTTTTAGGAAGTGGAATATGAGAATAAAGACAACTACATGAAAGCTGTGCTCTCGTTAGGTTTTACCAGAACCCAAGGGATCAAAGCAGATATTCTCGCATTTTCTACATAAATCCATCTCCACCAATGCCCTGAAAATTTAGTAACTAGCAGATTTTAAATCTTAAAAGTTTTAAGGGAGTCACATTCAAGATTATATTATCTGCCACCATCTCTTTGTCTCTGTCTCTGTCTCTGTCTGTCTGTCTCTCTCTCTCTCTCTCTCTCTCTCCTACCAATTTCTACAATAACTGCCAAATCCCTCTGCTTGTCCTTAAGGTTTCACACAAAACTGTTTTCCTCAAGGTGCACTATTTGTCAGTCACCAGCTCATAAAAGTCTTGCCCAGTCAATTAAAAAAGGAGAAAGGGGAAGTTTACAAAAAAAAAAAAAACTTGGACACCTCAAAATAAAAGGGGGGGGAATCTGGAAAAGAACTCATCCTTTAATTCCCTTAGCATTCAAATACAGAACTGGGATTCCTCCATAAGCTAACCAGTAACCAACTGAGCAACTTAACTGGCTTATTACTTTAAACATCTCAACAGAAGTAACATGGAACTGCAAAAGAGAGGCACAGGCACACATTCTCAAAACCACCACCAAATCCTTCCTTCTATATCAGTGCCAGCAGCATTGAAAGTATATGTCTCAGATATGTAAGACAGCATTAATATATTTATCAATGATTCATCCTGTCTGGGTAGGCAAGCTGGTGACACTTCCTATTCAAGAGAAGGGGACCTAGCCAGACTGGCTGGATAACTGGACAGTGGTGGCCTGTGTGACAAGGAAATGATTGCGGTAAAAGCATTCATGGCCACACATGAATTCTAGCCATGGCTTCCACAGACATTAAAGGACACTTGCACTTAGTACCTTCAGTCTTACCTATATTGCTGTGATTTTGAACCCCTGAAGAACCCCCGGAGGTCCAGGCTGGAATGTGTTGGCTGGGATGAGCAGTTGCAGCCACAGTGCTCTGGTTAGAGATCACATTTGTAAGAATGACATCAGACACTGGGACTTTACCATCAGTGACTAAAGGTTCACTCCCATTTGACATAAAATAGGTCTTTTTTAATGATCCTAAAAGACAAAAAAAAAAGATAAATTCTTTAATATAATAGAAAGTTTTTTGTAAAAACATTTAAATATTTTTATTAAAGTGGAACTGGTTTAAAGGCATTATATAAGTTTCTGGTTGCACAACATTATAGTTCAATGATCTATATAGATTGCTTTATGATAATCACCAAATTTAGTTTCCATTGTGTAAGTGGTACCAATTGTGTATAATTGAGACCCCTAACAAAATTTACCCACCTTTTCATTAAATGTATTATGTATACATGTATGATGTGTGTATATATTATGTATGTATTGTGTATGTATTACGTATTATGTATTATGTGGGGCTAGAGCGATAGCACAACAGGTAAGGCATTTGCCTTGCACGAGGCCAACATGGCCAACCCTGATTCGATTGCTCCGTCCCTCTCAGAGAGCCGGGCAAGCTACCGAGAGTATCTCGCCTACACGGCAAAGCCTGGCAAGCTCCCCGTGACGTATTCGATAGAAACAGTAACAGTAACTGCCAGAAACAGTAATATCAAGTCTCACAATTTGTTGGGAGACGTTTTTGGTGCCTGCTCGAGCATTTCGATGAACAATAGAAGGACAGTGGTAGAACGCTATTATTATGTAGTATACATGTACATGTGCATTTATTCACTGTCACTGTCACTGTCCTCCCATTGTTCATCGATTTGCTCCAGCGGGCCTAGTAACATTTCCATTGTGAGACTTGTTATATTGTGCATATATTATATATTACATATATGTACAATGGGTTATTCATTATGTAATATGTCTTACATAATACAATTATGTATTAAATAATATGTGTTAAGGAAACTCTAGAAATACTTTCTCAAGTCTCATTCTCTTCAGTAAAACACAAAAAGCACAAATGGTTAAGTATCGACATCTACTTCATCAGGACCACAGTTTTTTTCTACAGCAAACCATGCATCCCTGTTGCTTTTTCAGAAACTTAAGGTTTAAAAAACTGAGACTCACATCCAAGTTTTAGATGCCCAAAGAATTTAGGGCAATTTCAATTATCTGGGACTCGCCACAAACAAATTTTAAGTTGATTTTGGTGTTTCTTTCCTGCTTTCTCAATTTCTCCATTTCTTTCATTATATTATGCTATTCACTATCAGGATAGCAACTCCTCATGCCTCCAAAACTGCCACTAAAGGTAACAACAATATCTGCTTAGCTTCAACCGTGCAATTTTATACATTTCGCACTAAATTTAAGTGGAGCACAAATTATCTATAAATAAAAAAAAGTGTTTAGATATTTACCAATATCTAAAGAAGTAATGAAATTTTGGTACATACAATGGAATACTATTCAGCTATAATTAATGGAAGTTTGTAGTTTGCTGCAACTTGCATGTATTCAAGGATGCCATGCTGAGTGAATTGAGTCAGAAAGTGAAAGGTACCAGATGATCTTGTCAAATGTTGAATATAAAGAAACAAAGAGATTAGACAGTCCCTAATGCAAACAAATTCAGAGACATTATCAGTAGAACTGGAACTGGAGGGGTAGGGGGGAAGAGGAAGGAATCTCAGATCTTAAAACATTGGTGGAGGAATTGGTGCAGTATTCTACAACTATAAAGAAATAGTTGGAGCTGGAATGATAGTACAGCAGGCAAGGCATTTGCCTTGCACATGGCAATCTGGACTCAATCCCCGGCATCCCATATGGTCTCCAGAGCACCATCAGGAGTAATTCATGAGTGTAGAGCCAGGAGTAACCCCTGAGCATAGCCAAGTGTGATACCAAAAGCAAAAAGAAATAAGGAGAAGGAAGAGGAGGAAGAGGAGGAGGAGGAGGAGAGGGAGGAGGAAGAGGAGGAGGAGGAAGAGGAGGAGGAGGAGGAGAGGGAGGAGGAAGAGGAGGAGAAGGAAGAAGGAGAAGGAGGAGGAGGAGGAGGAGGAGGAGGAGAAGAAGAAGAAGAAGAAGAAGAAGAAGAAGAAGAAGAAGAAGAAGAAGAAGAAGAAGAAGAAGAAGAAGAGGAGGAGGAGGAGGAGGAGGAGGAGGAGGAGGAGGAGAGGGAGGAGGAGAGGGAGGAGGAAGAGGAGGAGAAGGAAGAAGGAGGAGGAGGAGGAGGAGGAGAAGAAGAAGAAGAAGAAGAAGAAGAAGAAGAAGAAGAAGAAGAAGAAGAAGAAGAAGAAGAAGAAGAAGAAGAAGAGGAGGAGGAGGAGGAGGAGGAGGAGGAGGAGGAGAGGGAGGTGGAAGAGGAGGAGAAGGAAGAAGGAGGAGGAGGAGGAGGAGGAGAAGAAGAAGAAGAAGAAGAAGAAGAAGAAGAAGAAGAAGAAGAAGAAGAAGAAGAAGAAGAAGAGAAGAAGAAGAGAAGAAGATTGTAAACTATGATATCTTAAAGAAAGAGAGGGGGGTTGGAGCAATGGCACAGCAGGTAGGGCGTTTGCCTTTCATGCGGCCCATCAAGGTTCGATTCCCACCATCCCATATGGTCCCCCGAGTACCGCTAGGAGTAATTCCTGAGTGAAGAGCCTGTGCATCACCGGGTGTGACCCAAAAAGAAAAGAGAGAGAGAGAGAGAGAGAGGTAGAGAAAGGGGAGACAGAGTGGGGATGTGATAAAGAATGGAAAATGGAGGGAAAATTCTAATCCCAGTCCAAGTAATAGATGATACTATACTATCATATTCAATCAGAAACTACAAAAGATGATTGTAAGAATAAGATAGTCACTAAATTAACATTACAAACTGGCCACTTTTCTCAAGGCATTCATTCACTGACAAAATAAAGAGGCAAACCTAGGATTAATGAAAAGTACCTAGCTTTGGCTTTAGGCAGAAACTTCTTTAAAATTTGAAAGAGACAATGTATTTTTAACTCAGTTAATACAGGCAACAGATTTTCCACAATACAGTACTGTGTTTGAGTATGTGCCACTAAAACAAATGATAGTAATCCATTAGAGAGATACTCATGGGAGATTTTTCTCCCTAAAAACATTTACAGTGTATGCTTTAATTGGGTCTCACTTTTCCACACAGTCCATGGACCATTAAAAATAAAAAAGAAATATAAATAAAATGTTTAATATCAGTCTATGGAAAAAATGTCTCTACATGTGTTTGACACTTGGGAAACATTAACTACAAATCAAAATAGAAAAGCAGCTGTTCTTTTTTTTTAAGCTAACTAAGGTCACCAGTTTCATCTGCTAAAGGATTCTAAATAAAACATTGATGTATAATTGCTAAATCATGACCATGCGATACAGGTGACAAACTCAACTCTTCAAATTGTCTGATTATGAGTAGATAAAGTATGCAATGTTAAAATGAAATATTAATTTAATTATTTTTGATTTTCAGAATGATTTCAAACTTATCCTAGATCAAAGTAAATGCATGTAATAGATTTGATGGTGATACATTTCTTCACACATGCAAAACATTTACTGATTATTTAGGTATAATTTTATTTCCATCCATCTGTTAGCTTCTCTATTACTTATTATGGCATAAGGAGATTTTTCACGTATCATGTCACTTTCACTAATGTGACTGTAATGAATATATAAGACCCAATGAGTTAATTTATTTTTCATGTTAACCCTATGACTCAGCATCCAGTTCTGTCACCACATTTTTAGCAAATACCAATTCTCACAGTTATATGCCTGGAGCAATTCATATAAAACGAGCTCCATTTCACATGGAACATTTCAATATTTGTGCTTGATATTTGTTTGCAATGATTAGCCTAATTAATAACATTTTCTTTACCTTTCATCTAACCACAAAATTGAAAGTATTCGTAACATTTGTTTAAGACATTCTTTGAATGCTGACTTTCTTAGGAAATATTGTCATGAATAAAGGATTAATTTTCTTAATGTCAGCATTTGGGGCCTGCACAATAGTATAATGAATAAGGCACTTGCCTTGCATATGGCCAACCTTGGTTCCATCTTTGATATCCCATATAGTCTCCTGAGTCTCCAGAAGTAGTGATCCTTGAGAGCAGAGCGAGGAGTAAGTCCTGTTAATGGCCAGGTATGGACCAAACCCCCTACCCTTTTAGAAAAGGCATAATTTTTGCTCTTCAACTCCACATATAAAAGCTAATTTGCATAATAGAGAGGATAATATGTGATATATGATAGTCGTTATTGCTAAAATCTATAGTATATATTTTTGAGACAGAACAAGAGCGAAATCTATGGAACCTATCTTTCAGAGTCTGTAGAAACTAGGCAATTTGTTTTCAAGTCTCTCTGGTAACTGAAAAACCCTTAACTCATCCTTGATAATCTAATATGTATCTGTTGAAAAGCACAAAAAATTATAACCCAATAAGAATAAGTACTCTTCACACAGACCCATAATAAATTGTAAAAATACTATTATTAGAACAGAGTAGTATGTTCATTCTCCCAGGGTGGTCCCATTCTTTTCCACATTCTTTTTCCACTTTTTGATCAAAAAAATGCTTTTTGGGAGGCTGGAGCAATAGTATAGCGGGCAGGGCGTTTGCCTTGCAAGCAGCTGACCCGGGTTCAATCCCCGGCATCCCATATGGTCCCTCAAGCACTGCCAGGAGTAATTCCTGAGTGCAAAGCCAGGTGAGCATCACTGGGTATGACCCAAAAAGCAAAAAATTAAAAAATATAGTTTTCGGGATGATATATCTCATATTGTCATTCTTAGCATTTTTTATAAAAAATATGTATTTTTCAATATCTATGGAAACTATAGTATCATGATAGCCATCTCAGAGGAAAAGTGAAAATAATTCATCCACTTTTCCTTTTCCACTCACAGTGCTGCGGTTAAAAGCATAGGTACCACACCTGACCACCCAGGTAAAATCCCCTCTAGCACTTACTAGTTCGAAAATTTTGACCAGCTTTCAACCGCATAAAACAAGGATTATAAAAGTACCTCTTTATGGAGCAGACTCTTAAAATCAAATTTGTCAATATAGCAATAAAAACCTGGAATGTTTCAGGGTACCTAGAAAAACTCT